GCCGGCGCCTCGGCCCGGCCTCTCCGGGGACGCCACCCAAGCTTCGGTGGGAGGGCCGCCGAGCGAGCGGGGCGTTCCGAGGGGCGGCGACGCCGCGGGGCTCGGCACCGCCCGACAGCTGGCAGGCGGCAGTCACGTGCCGGCGCCGCTCGACGTCCTTCCGCCTCGCTAGCTGTCATGGCGCCGGCCACGTGACCCTCGCCTGCCGCACTCGCCACGCTTCATGTTGCCTCGGTAACTGTCACGGCGCCGATCACGTGATGCCCGGCTCGGCCCTGGCTTCCGGTCACTCCAGTTGATTGCTCTCGGCGCGACTGCTGCCTCTTTTTCTCTCTCGTGGACCGCGATTTTGCCCTTCTTCCCCCAGGAGAAGCGCCGCGCTGACTCTGCGCGGCCCGGTAAGTGTATCGGAGGCTGTGCCTTTACCGGCGCTCTCCCTTCCCGGCTGACCCCTGAGTGCCAAGCAGCAGCCGCCCACCGCTTTACTCTAGTCTCCATAGACTCCTGGATGCTGCTATAAAAAGTCGGTTTCTGATGCCCTGAATCAAACGAAGGATAGAAATTCCACATTGGTGCCGCAAGTCAATAATCCTGACAGCTAGATTTGCCTAGAGTACTCTTGCTCCGCGTCTCCACTGGCTGCCACGGTTCCGATAACCTAAAGTAAATAGAGCTGCGTTCGGCCGTCGTCTACGCACGCCTCCCGGGTCGATAGCATCGGCTTTCCCTTGCCTTGCCTGTCCGAGTCAGCGCGTGCGCAGACTGCGCCCGGCGTCGCCCCGGGAGGAGCCGCGTAAACAGGAAGTGGGCTCCGCGCTGGCGGCCTGCTGCGGTAAGGTCGGTCTGCGCAGAGCGGGTGGCCTCGGGGTACCCACCCTGCGCTGGGGGCCGCCCGCCTTCGGGGGCCCGGCGGAGAGGCGGCGCCCGGAGGACGCGGGGCGGAAGGCTCGCCTCGCGTGGGGGAGGCGCTGCCCCGGAGGGCTCGGCGGAGCTGCCTCCGCTTCGGCTTTCCCGGGAAGCAGGTTTGCCTGGAAGGCGTTCGGGGTGTCTTCTGAAAGGCGCCGTAGAGCTTTGGGTCGCAAGTGAACTCCCAGGTTTTCGTAGGGGCCGCGGCGCTCTTCCGTCCACTGCGTGCGTGCGAGCGTCCCCGTGGAGCAGCCCAGGCCGCCGCGGCGTTTGTTCCTGACGAGTCCGTCGGTGGCCTTGTGCCGAGCCGCTCGTGAGAAGCCGCGTCCGAATCCGCGCTGTCAGTCGGGCGGCCCGATCGCGGTGCTCAGTCGGCCTGACCTTCCTGGACGCCGACCGCCGCCGCCTCCTGGGCGTGCGTGGCCTGCGGCAGGCGACGTGGCCTTTTTTTCTTTTTTTTTAAATTTAGCATTTCGCGTAGTTTTTCAGGTGTTTTCACTTTTAGGATCGAAGTTATTACTCAAATGCACTTTTTTTGTTAGAGGCTTGATTTTTTTTCCTCCTGTGTTGTGGAAAGTGCCTTTTGCCGTGGAATACTTGCTAGAACCAGTCTGTTGGCGTCCGCAGTGTGGGGGAAGAGGGTTTATTTCGGTAGCTTTAGGGATATAAATGAGAGTCCCATTCAGTCTCTTCTGACAATTTCGGGCGGTTGGCTCTGCCCCTCTCGGCTGCAGCTCTCAACTAGAGCCTTCCCCCCTCAAAAACTGCGTGAGCATCTTGTGAACTAGAACTTTACTGTTTGCAAGATCGCCACACTCCCACGTGATTTTTACGCAGGTGAAGTAAATGTTGTGTTAAAATGCACTTCCGTATTGTATTTTAACATTAAGGTCGCTCCGGACAATTTTTCAAGTGCTGGTTTTTTGGGGTTGTTTGTTTAATCTCTCTGGTCTAAATATAGACTACCATAAATAGATCGGTTAAAACAGCCTTGATTTGTGGAAGATATTTTGTTAGCGCATCTTTTGTATGTAACAGTTTACATATAAAATGTGTGCTGTGGGATGGTGGGCTTAGTACCACCAGGCTTCATGGGGAAAGAAACCATGGGGGTTGGAGTGTTGGTCCCTAGAGACGAAGGCTTGTTTTACCGCAGGCTGAGAGGTGCCTTGAAGGGGGAGATGGACGCTCTCAGTTCCTTGAGTGCAGAGCACGGAGAGGGCCCTGGGACGTGGTTGAGTGTGCCAGCTGCTGCTCGCAGGACCGCAGCGGGGTTCGTGCCTTTGCTCGTGTGGGCTGAAGCCCAGGCACACTCAGCAGTTCCTGAAGGTGTTTATTTTTGGTTGTTTTCTCGTCTCAATAAAGTTGTTTCTTTTTGTGACAGACTTGGACCATCATGTAGTCACTCCGCTTGTCTAGACTCGGTTAAATATTTGTATATCTGATACCTTTTTCCTGCACAAAACATCTTGGCCTTGTACTTGGCAGTCAGCTTTGCTCAGGAACCACCGAGTTACTCGGACGATGCCCTCGTCCTGCATAAATGTCCTGGCCTCATGTTGGGGCTGAGGGACTCTCAGTGCTCGAGCTCCTGAAAAGTACAGGGTAGGACAGAAGCAAGCACGCCAGCTCCACTGGGCAGTGGGCGAATTACACCTGCATCGTAGCTTTGGGCTAAACATTTTTAAATGACGATCTTTCTGTCCCTGGGCAGAGAGAAGTAGAGTCTAATGAAGAGTTAAAACAGCAGGAAGGCCAGTCCTTAATTCCATTTTAGTCACCCGTCAGACTTCTGTGGGCCTTAAAGAATGAGTGTTCTCAGCAAAAGCAGGCTCACGTCCCTGGGAAGTAACCCAGGCGTCTGTTACCATGTCCCAAAGGTCAACAGCCTTGTCTACAGCAAGCTAATAATGCGTGCTCAGTTGATGAGTTGACTGAAAGCAAGGGGCTCTTCCCCTCCTTGGTAACACTTTCTGACTGCATGTAAACACGGTATTTTTGTGGTTTTATCAGGATCTTATGATTCTGTTGAAAAGGTTGTGCTTTCAAGGGTGATAGATGACTTGCTCTCCGGTTTATTTCGCCTTCCTACCCTTTTTGTCCTATCACAGTCCCTCTAGTGGTCCCTGTCTCTTGTTCTCTAGTAAACGCTTAATTGAAAAATACTTTTACACCATGTTCATTATTTATGAAATATGTTGTCTTTAATTTTATGTATTCTATATAGGAGACATCTGGAAAAAATGACCCATTGGTTTCATAGGAACCCACTGAAAGCCACGGCTCCTGTCTCTTTTAATTACTACGGTGTGGCCGCTGGCCTACCTGCTTCAAAAATTTGCAAGTAAGTTTTAGTTGTATGCAAGTCTGAGATTTGCTGTCACTCTTAGATACAAGGTATTTTGTTAGATTTCTTGGGTAATATAGGAACAGGTAACACATTGTCCCTACCTTGAGAGTTGCTGATTTGTGCCAATGAAGAGTGAAATCATAGAGTCAAACTTTGGCCATCGTCCAGGCCTATGTCATTAATGTAAAATTAATAAATGAGTCCTAGGAGACTAAAGGAGTGACAACAAAAGAGTTATGATTGTTTTACTGTAGTGTAGGAGATGCCAGAAAGTAGGAGACGGACATTATTAATTGGCTGGCAGTGAATTCATTGAGTTCAGAACAGGGAGAGGTCCCTGTGACTTGGAACGGCCATCAAAGAAGTCACATAGGAGAACGGACTGGAGCTGGGTTTAATTTGAATGGCTTAATTTAGGAGTTGGTAAGCTGTCCCACAGGTTCAGCCTCCTGTTTGTTTTTTTAAAAAATAAAGTTTTATTGGAACCCAGCCAGACCCACATTTATTTATACCCTGCTGTGGCAGCCTCCAGAGCAGCAAAACTGGGTAGTTGGGATGGAGACCTTGTGCCCCAAAGAGCCTGAAATGTTTACTCTGTGGAGTTCCTGATGGAGGGGGTGGGGAAAGAGGAAAGTGAGGGCCGTCACTAGGGAGCGTGAGTGGAGTGGGCTGGCGGCTGCGAGGGAGAGGAGGAAGAGGTACTCTGCAGGCACCGGCTCGCCTGATGGGCCAGCTGGCTTTGGGAGATTGGGAAGGGTACAGTCTGAGACAGAAAACCTAGGTAGCTGGGTCAGTGGTGGGACCAGTAAGGGAAGAGCAGGGCAGTGACCTCATCTCTAGACCACTGGTCGGCGAGCCACTAGATAGCAAATGTAGTCAGTTTTTCTTTGTTCTGGAACCGTTATAGATGTAGAAACCATTCTCAGTCTGAGAGCTGATCAAGAGTAAGTCGTGAGCTGCACAAAAACAAGCTGCAGACTAGTTTGCCAGCCTCATCTGGCCTCCCAGACGCTGGTTGCCAGGTAGCTGTTTATCTGTAGCAGTGGGCACGTCTCTTAATATCTTTGGGCCTGATTCCTGATGTGTCAGATATACAGCATAAATTACTATTGCTACAGTTCATTTTTCTCAAATTCAATAATTTTAAGATGAGTTTAGCTTTATACAAGTTGGGCTGTAGGTGACAGTTGAGCACCTACTTTGGCACACAATGCTTGAGCCTAAACTAGGCCTTAAAGAATTTTTTAAACTTCAGATTTCTTCCCAATTCAGGAATCACCCTTTCAACTTTTAGATAAGTACCTTAAGCAGTGACACATTCGTAAGCCTGTTTGTTTCTTAAGATAAGCCTCCTCAGAGTCAGCACCGGTGTGTATGCACAACATCAGGAACACTCCAGATGAAATGTCCCGTCCTGTAAACATGACAGACATGTCACAGCCATCCTAAAGCAGAAGGAAATGTTTGAGAGTTGCTGTTCTTGCACTCCAGCGTTTTGAGTACGTGCTAGCCTTGCCTTTATTCTAGGGCAGGCCCTGCTCTCTGGATGCCTTCCAGTTAAGAGGTCGTGTTTCTACTGTCACTCACACACTTCAAGTGGCTACAGCCTTTGTCCATGCAGTGTGATTTCAGGAACCTTCAGTGAGCCTTTAATTGCCTTCCAGACAATATGTGGAAGTGAACTGAACAAGTTAGAGCTGACAGGTTAAGTCTGGAAATGGAAGTAGTGGAAGGTGGTGAGATCTCAAAGGGAAAACTGAAAGCCAAGGGTGGAAATCTTTTAGTGGAGATAAGAGGACACAGGGAAAGTGAGAAACTTGTAGAGATGAGAGGAGCACCTTGGAAACTTAGTATTGTGGGGAAAAATTCCAAGGAAAAAAATTTGTGTACTTGGTAATACCTGTAAGGGAGGGGTTGGGCCTCATGTGCATGTTAAAGCTTTTCTTTGAGACTTCTAAGCCACTTTTACGTGGAAACAGGAGAAAAGACAAATCTGCAGTATTTGTGCTGCAGAGAAGTAAAAGAACGGAGCTGAGAACAGTTCTAAAACTAAGTCATGCGTTTTTAGACATTTTGCATGTGCCCTGAGTTGTGGAACGCTATTTCAGTTTTAAAATATTTGCGTCCTAGCTTAGCAGCACAGCGTCTACCTGGCAAGCATGAGATTGTGAGTTCAATTCCCAGTACCAAAAATAAATATAAAAATAAGAGAGTCCCTTTAAGGAGTACTAAAAGTAGACACAAATATAGTAAATTTCCGTTATGTCCAAAAACTTAAGGGCCAGCCAAATAGCTCAGTGGATTAAAGCACCTGCTTAGGCAGATGCAGGGGCCGGAAGTTTGATCCTGATCCCCAGGTCTGCCATGCTGCCCCTGCCCCTGGGGCACACTGAGACAGAGATTGAGACTGGGGACATGTGCCTCAATCCCAGCACTTGGGAAGCTGGAAACAGGAGGATCACTATGAGTCCAGTCTATGTGTTGAGACCCTGTACACCCTGTCCTAAATACAAAAAAAAAAAAAAACTGAGCTAATCCAAAAGCTTATCATGAACTGGTTGAAATTGCTCATTATTAATTCCTCCCCTCAATCTGAAATGCATGCATTTGTTTGATTTTTCTAATTAAAGCTTGCTATGTATATTTACTACATAATTGTATCCACAATTTGTCTTATAAGTGAACTGGATTGATTTTAATACAGTGTGCCGTTTTAAAATAGTTACTAGTAATTTAATTTGTCTCTGATTGTATTTACTTCTGTGTACTTGCTGATGCCTTGGAGGGCGAGGGGTGGACATCACACGCGTGTTAGAGCTTTTCTGTGAGACCTCTAGGCACGTGCACAGAGCAGAGCACCGCAGCCTCCCTCCCTTTGCCTTCCTGTTTCCTGTCAGCGACCTCAGGTCATCCAGGGCGCGCCTCCTGGAGCTGTTCACCGATCTGAGCTGTAACCCAGAAATGATGAAGAATGCGGCAGATTTGTACTTCTCACTTTTACAAGGTTTGTCGTTTATATTTACTTGGGCGTTTAAAAAATAAAACTTTGAAGAAGTTCACATTATTTCATAGAATTTTTTTTTTTTTTTTAAATTTTATGTTTTTGGCACAGGGTCTCACTGCCCAGCTCAGACTTGTAGTGATCCTCCTGTTTCAGCCTCCCCAGCACTGGGATTACAGGTGTGGCCCACCATGCCTGGTCTTGGTGGCTGGCTTGGTGCACCTGGGGCAGGGCTGGCACAGTATGCAGTACTGGGCATCGAACCCCGGTCCTCGTGCTTACCTATGCAGGTGCTTAGACTGCTGAGCCATCTCTGTGGCCCACTTCTTAGACTTCTTAAATATGGAATAAGGATTTTTTTTTTTCTCTGAATACCTTCAGGGCAGGTTTGGCTGGCTTGAGTTGTGGGGATGGAACCACAGCAACCTGAGCCCGACGTCGAAGCAGCCACTTAAAGAGCTCAGCTAAGGGGCAGGCCCCCAGACTTCTTAAATATGGATAGTGTAGTGTTGTAAGTTTTGATATGCATGAGTTTCAGAAAAGAGGTGGTAAGGCAGTGTGTGCTTTAACACATCAGAAGTTAAAGGTACATGTAACGCGATCCTCACACCTCCTGGAACTAGGTAACCTCTGGAGACAGTGTCAGATGCAGTCAGGGAGGAAAGGCCAAAGGTTTCATTCAGGCACCTGGAAAAGCAGTGATCAGAAACATCTTTCAGTGGAACCTGTGATTTTGCTTCTCAAACTAAAATGTCTGTGTCTTTGTGTAGGTTTCATACATTCCCCAGGTGAATCTACACAGGAAAGCAAGTTAAGATATATTCAGAATTTCAAGTGGACCGATACACTGCAAGGACAGGTGCCAAGGTAAAAGTGTACTCGTGGCCTCTGTTAGAAGGCAACGGGTGGGGGTGGGGGTGGGGGTGGGGGTGGGGCAGTAGAAGAAGCATGGGCTTGGCAAGCTCAGGGCCCTGAGCTCAATGCCCAGTACTGCAGAGGAGGAGGCGGCGGCGGCGGCAAGGGTAGGTCTCGTCAGCACTTGCTTACCAGGAAGGTAGGTAAGAGCATTTCACCTACATCTTAAGTTCAGTGAAGCATTACTCGTTTCTCCCAGACCAAATCTGTCTTTATTAACTGGAATTGAACAGCCGTGACATATTTTTAATGCATGAACAAGGCAAAGATTGGGAATCCAAACTGACATGCAGTCTTACCTTTAAGGCCTGTTCTTTTGATGGGTAGTTCAGCCATCCTTGGTCAGTCTGTCTCCTCAGTTGTGTACTCTGATTGTCACCATTCGTTTTTTCCATGTTTCGCTGTACTTTTTCTACTCTTTCTAAAAACTTCATTTCAGAGCTTTTCATCAACCAGTTGAAACTATTTGAAACAGACTTAATTATAACAGCAATTAGATCATAATGTACTAACCTTCCTTAGTTGCTTTTTTAAAAACACAAGTGGGTTCACTATTTATTTACTTATTTATTTGGTACCAGGGATCAAACTAAGGACCTTGTGCTTCCTGGGCAGGCACACACTATTGAGCTACCTCCCTGCTCCGTCTGTTTTTAGAATTACTGTTTTTTATTTTTTTGAGATAGTCTCACTGTGTAGTCCCGGTGGACCTTGAGTTCATGGTGTAGCCCACGCTGGCCTCAAACGTGTGGAGATGCTCTTTCCTCAGCCTCCGAGTGCTGGGATTACAGGCATGCACCACCACACCCAGCCAGAATTGCTGCTTTATGAAAGCAGAGAGGAAGGCCCTGGAGATTGCTGCAGGAACGAGGCGCTGGTGCACGCAGGGGAGTGTGGGCTGGCGTCCACGCGTCTGTGTGTGCGCCCCAGTCTCCAGCTGAGCAGGCGTTGGCTGCTTCGGGGGTCAGAGGCTGTAGTGAGGACCAAAATGAGGGCGCTTTGCTGAGTAAGGAGAAAGGCAGACTCTGAGGAGACAGTCTTCAGCTGAGAGGCGTTGGCCACTTCGGGGGTCAGAGACTATAGTGAGGACCAAAATGAGGGTGCTTTGCTGAGTGAGTAAGGAGAAACGCTCCCTTCTTTGGGAACATCGTGTGCAGAACTCACAAATTGGGTGGGCAGTGGGGAATACGGGTCCTGTGCAGGTGTCAGTGTTCTGGGGTAATGGGCTTCATTAGTCTGATATTATATTTCCTGTCTTATTCAGAAGTTCTTTATGCTGGAAAGAGTAAGCTATTAAAACTAAGAAGCAAAACAATTTTAAGAAGTTTTCTAGGGCCGGCCAAATAGCTCAGCAGATTAAAGCGCCTGCGAACAGGTGTAGGGGCCAGGAGTTTGATCCCTGGCCTGCCGTGGGGGTGCGCACCTGTAATCCCAGCACTTGGAAGGCTGAAAAACAGGAGGATCACCATGAATCCAATCTGTGTAGTGAGAACCTGTAGACCCTGTATTAAATACATTTGAAAAAGTTAGAAAAATAAAATATCGACGTGTCTCATTCCTTTCACAATAAAAGATACAAAGTACAGTTAAAATTTTTAATTTAAGACTGGGCATGGTGGCATGTAAAATAAACTTAGTACTTTTGCATTCTTCATTTGAGGCAGTACGTAGGAATGTTTAGACTCTTGGAATGACAGAGATGATACTGGAATTAGTATCTCACTGGTATAGTGCACTCTCACTGTTTTCTTTATGCCTTAGTGATAGAATAGGAAGAAAGCAAGGGATAAAATATTCTTGCTTTCAAGACCTTTTTCTTTGCATAACACTTGGTGTTCAGAACTCTTCATTTATGTTTCTTTTAGCTATCTGTCCTGCTCTGCCTTGATTTCTTTTTTTTTCTTTTTTTGGTGGAACTGGGGATTGAACTGAGGCCCTTGAGCTTGCCAGGCAAGTGCTTATTCTACTGAGCCATCTCCCTGGCCTGTGCCTTAATTTTGTTTTTACATACGTCTGCTCCAGTCAAGTAGGTTGGATCCGTTCTACCAGGAAAACCCTTCTTGTCCTTTGACAGCATCCTTCTCGCCGGGGCACCTTTCCTCCATGTACTCACCCCTTGGGGCACAGTTTGGTTTCCTAAGTACCAGTAAGGCTTCTTTGTGACTCCAGCTAAGACCACCCCTCCTCGGAGTTCCATTGTCACGATGCATTGCATAAGTGCCGCTCATTTCAGAATAAAAGTACTGATTCTGGGCCCTTCCCAGACTTTGAGTCTGAAGTTCAGCCCTAGAAGTCTGTGTTTTCAAAGGTACTCTTCAATTATCAGTGTGTGGTACACACTGGGCCAGTACATTCAGCCGCTCTTTGTGAATTAACTGTGTGGCTTTATCTACCTGTCCATATTAAACACAACCACCATTTTCTTCCTTCCTGTCTGTTTTTTCTTTCTTTATTTACACACATGTATAAGTTAGCTTGTAGTTTGTAGTTGTGAGCTGAATATCTGGTGGGTTTCATATAGCAATAATTTACTAATTTAGAAAACTTGCGGAATGTATTTTTAATTCCAGTGCCCAACAGGATGCTGTTTTTGAATTAATTTCCATGGGATTTAATGTAGCTTTATGGTACACCAAATATGCTTCAAGACTGGCTGGCAAAGAAAAGTAAGTTAAACGAAAAAGGTTCATGCACATGTAAATATTATCTTTCAAAATGAGTTTTGTTTTAGAAATTCTCGGCCATTGATTAAAAAGTGCTGCTTCAGGTAACTAAAAGATTGCCTTTTAAGTACTACAGTACTTATGAAGCCTCACTTTAAATTGGAAAAGTTTTTTTTATAGTTTGTCATGTGGGAGGTCTCTCTGGATAAAAGACTATGGAAAAATTGACTACATAAAAGTATTATCAGCAAAGTTTAAAAACATTTGAAAATTAGTCAAAAGAATTGCGATACATACGATAAATTACTTATTTTTGTAATGTATGTGCTTACAAGTCAAAAGGAGAAATAAGAGAACATAACTGGGTAATAACAAAAGAAACACAAGGCATGTAAATATATGCAAAGATGTTTTGAAGGACTAAAGAACAGCAAACTGTACTAAATCGTTGCCCTTATAAGCGCTGCCTCCAACATACCACTAGTTTCTTTCCTCTAGTTTTCTTCCCTCAAAGACATCTAATTTTGACACTTAAGAAATATACGTGAAAAATACCGGTTATGGCTTATACCTAGATGTCTCTCAAAGCCTGCTGCACTCGCAGCTGCGACTTTGGGGAGCCACTGGACTGTGGGTGTGAGGCTCGATTAGTGGTTTTTATAGTAGCCACTGTGGGCTCAACATTGGGAAACTGGCAGGCCAGTTATGATCCGCCACACGTAGGAATAATACACAGCCACTTTGCAGTGAGGTTGAATTCTGTGTGCTCCTGTGAAATTCTCTCTTTATTGTAGAGATTAAGCAGAACAGTGCTTGTTTTATTTCATGTGTAACATAAACATGTACTATTGTATACGTACTGAGTGCTTAATGCTTGCACTGGGGACAGAAGAGTCTGGAAGGGACTAGCCGTAGGCAGGTCTCTGCCTTTCCCTCTCCCCGCCATCTTCTTGGATACTGCCTCAGTTGCTGTCCCATTGCCGAGACAGAATGCCCTCGCTCACAGGCTGAGGTGGAGAGGTTATTTCAGCCTAGTCTGGACGTTTTCGTCCCTAGTCAGCTCCAAAGCAAGAGACCCAGTGGTGGGGCGGGGAGCAGAACGTTGCCTGTTTTCCCTGTTCATTTCATCCAGGGCACAGCCTGTCAGTGGTCTCCCCTCTTCACAGTATGTCCCCCACTAATCAAGCATCACGTGGTCCAGTCACTCCCCAAAGTCCCACCTGTGAGTGCAGGGGGCTTTGAGAGATATCTAGCTATCGGCTGTAATAGGTGTTTTTCATGCATATTTTTGGTGTCAAAATTAGACTTTTTTGGAGGAAGAAAACTAGTGGTGTGTTGTAGGCAGAGTTTTTAAGGGCAGTAATTTAATAGAAGACCCATAATTTATAGGATCAGTTGATGGTAGTTCCCCAGAGAGTCAGGCACAAAGCAGTGCAGGAGATCTGCCCACATGCTAGAGACCCAGAGAATCTGGCCCAGTGTCCTGCAGGAGTCCAGATGAGGCCTAGGGCCCATGGCCATGTCCCGTGCAAGCCTGTTTCATGGATCTGCATGGGAAAGACCCAAAGGTAGTGGTGGAAGCTAGACAGTCTGGGCCAGCAGGATCTATGCTGGCCCTGGAGCCAGGAAGTGACACGTGCAGTAAGGACCAGAGCTCCTCCGAAGAGAACCACAGCCATCCTCAGGGACAGTGAGATCAGGAGCGCCTCCAGCCATGAGAACAGCCAGGTTCCCATCGGAAAAGCCCGCAAGACAATCTTCTGGGGAGAACCCACAGCTCTACCTGCTCCCCGCCACTCCCCCTTTTCTGCTGTTGGCAGCAGTGCTCAGGGGCCTTCCACACCTAGCACTATGCTGATTCACTTCGGCTGGGGGTACAAGTTGCCACCAGTCGCCTGTCCTCCACAGGGTGATAAGCAGAAATAACTTCACTTGAGGTAATATATTAGACGTTGGTTTTAGCAGCCAGAACTGGACCCATCCTCTAACTAACCCACTCACTGTCTTCAAGCATAACAGAAGATGAAGCAAAAGAGGTCCACCGAAGCCTGAAAATTGCAGCTGGGATTTTTAAACATTTGAAGGTAAAGAAAACATTTTAAATTAAGTATATTTCTAATGCTTTAACGCTTGAATAATGTTTTGTAAGGGGGGGGGGGATGGTTTCATTCTGTACAATCAGTCCGGGGCCTTCACGGCCTGTGGGGGATCTGCTCTCGGACAGAAGACCCCTTTTTCCAGGGCACAAAAGCTGGTGCTCAAGTCCCTTTTATAAAATGGCGTAAGATTTCTGTGTAACCTGCACCTTTTCTGCCTTACACTTTAGCTGGTGCAAGGGAGATGCTGTATAAATAGTCGAACCATGTCGTTGAGGGAGCGAAGATGGAGTTGCGACGTGCTCACGGGTGCCGTGTCACAGTCAGATGCTTTCGCCGTAAGGTGGAGGTGTGCAGATGCAGAGCCCTAGATAGTGCAGGGCCGGCTGCTGTCAGTCTGTCCAGGGCGAGCTACCGGACTCCTCAAGGCGGCAGTTCTGTTCACTGTGTCTCTAGTGTATGGAAGTTCCCATTCACTCCCAGTTAGAAGTTCAGCGCGTGGCGCTGCTTAGGAGAAGCTTCCATTTCCATAAGCTCGCTGCTGCTGCTGCTGCTGCTGCTGCTGCTGCTGCTCTTCATGCACAGGTTGACTGTCTCAGAGCTGCTTTTCCTCATCTCTGATACCTGGTTAAGTAAGATTGGACATCTCTGTTCCTCAGGAAAGTCACATCCCGAAGCTCCTCACACCTGCGGAGAAGGGAAGGGACTTGGAGCCCCGGCTCCTGGAAGCATATATCCTCCAGTGCCAGGCGGAGGCTCAAGAAGGTACCCATGTGTTGTAAGATTGCTGTTCAAGGAAATCTGTGTCGGCATTTAATTACTTTTAAATCAGAAATAGCTGTATAGCTTGTGATTTCCAGGTTTTGAAAACTTGTAGGAGTAGCTTTCCCTTTAACATCTGCATTCATGAAGGAAAAGCCCTTACAGCTGAATAGCTTTGAGGATTTTGGAAAAAGTCGGGTGTGGTGGTTTGTTGTTCTAATGCCAGCTACTCATGAGGTGAGGTAGGAGGATTGTAAGCTCAAGGCCAGCTGAGTCAGCACAGCAAGACAGGCCCCATCTCAGAACAACAGAAAGCTGGGGACCTAGCTCAGTGGCGCAGCACCTGCCTGGCAAGCCCAGCGCTGAGTTGAGTTACACAGACACACATCGGGCTCCATACCACTCCCAACAGTGTGAATCACAGGAGGGCAAGAGAAAATTGCGGTTTGTATCGTTTCTAATGCTTTTTTTTTTTTTTTTTTACTATTGTATTATTTAAAAGAAAACTTCTACAGGCTTTGGTTTTTCTTTCCTTATTTCAAACTCTAGTCCTCTGAATTTGCTGTCCTTCCTACTAGTTAAGTCTTGACTACTGATTGATTTAAGGAAATGGCATCAGAACCATCAGCCTCATTGTTTTCATTTGTGTTTGAATTTTGCATAACTTGTTGTGTTAAACTTGAACTATGTAAAAGTCCAGAAAAGCGTCAGGCTGTCTTTGCTGACCTTGTGGCAGCAGGTGAGTGTGAGTCACACCCAGACCCCTTCTCTTGTGTTTTGCCCCCAGTGACAATTGCCCGAGCAATTGAACTCAAGCACGCTCCGGGGCTGATCGCTGCACTGGCTTACGAAACGGCCAATTTCTACCAAAGAGCCGGTGAGCGCCTCTATAATCCTGCTGTTAACATTTTGTCTTAGCTTGGCAGATTGTTTCCTCTGAGCTAAATTAGAAATGAAAATGAAAGGGTTCTCAGATTTTTCTACTGTCTGCAAAGCTGGAATATCTTCATTATTATGTTTATCTTATTTTAAAGAATTAGAGCTGCTCACTGTTAATAAGCTGTGTCGCCAGGAAGGATATGGCTCTACTTCGTAGCCAGTCATAAGTAGCAGCCACCTGGCTCACTTGCTGTTGCCTTTGGTTTTGGTCTTCATGGCAACCTTAGGATGACTTCATGTTGACTATGATTCACTTATCGAGACATGAAACTGAAACCAGAGCATTCGCATGCCCCACCTGTCACTTGGAGCCAGTTGGGATGGATCAGAACTCAGGCTCCAGTTCTGGTTGTTTTGTTCTTCATGTTCACTTACTTAAGCAACATGCCTGCATTTCTATTTAAGAAATGATTACTGTTCTAGCTGCTGAGTCGAGTAAGTTGAGTAGATTTGTAGGCTCAGGACAGAGGTGAACGTACCTGTGGAGTGTGTCCCGTGATGCGTAACGCTGCTGGAGCAGCGAGGTAAGAACCAACAGCCGGCTTGCTGGTGGAGGCTTTCTGGAGGAAGGTGGCATCCAGCCTCACCTGGCAATCACAGAGCGGTTCTGAGTTTCCCGGGAAGCTGCAGTGTGTAAGAGTGAAACGTGTACACTGTAGAGGGAGAGGAAGGGGCCTGCAGGCGGCTGCTCATAGCTGAGACCAGGGAGGGGTGAAGGAGGGGCGCTGCGTATTTGTGCGAGCCAGAACGGCCTGATTCTGAGGTCACTTGGGCCTGCTACGAGATTCCACGGGCTCTGCCTCACTGCGGTTTGCCCTGAGCGGGCCTGTGGCTGCCCTGTGACACAGGCTGGCTGCACCGGGTGTCTGATGACTTGGATGGAGAAGGAAGCAGAGGGGAGGAGACAGACTCCTGCAGCGTGGGTGTGAGTGTGTGTGGCGTGGGAGTGTGTTTGGCACAGGACTCCTTGAGACGGGAATGGAGGAGACGAGCCTGTCCTCTGTGTCCCTGCCTCGGGGCTGCACTGCTGCTGCGCTGCCGGGTTATGTAGGCTGTGAACCGAGAGAGTATGGGGAGCAGCCTCCCACCAGCGCTGGCTGCCACCCGTGTGTCTGTAATTTAAAGGTCACTAACCAGCAAGTCAAAGTGGTGCCTGATACTTAACTTGCTACAGAGTTTTGTATAGATGCTTGCATCTCAGCCTTGACCAGCATTCTGCTTTTAGCGCCAGAACACATGAACTGAAAGTCTCCTAGTGAATCAGGGTGAAATTATATTTTGCTTTTTAAAATGTAACTTTAGATCATACTTTATCCAGTTTGGAGCCTGCATATTCTGCTAAATGGAGAAAATATCTTCACTTGAAAATGTGTTTCTACACAGCCTACGTGAGTATGAGTAACCTAAGAACAGCCTAGATGACTGGGGCACCCCTCCCCAGACTCCGATTCCTCAGCATTTTATACGTAGCACGTGGTTCTCAGTAGACACCACCAGTGCACTGGGGGGACTGAAGCGAGTGGGGAGAGACGGGACTGAGCCCCGGGTTAGTGACAGACTTGCGCTCTGATTTGAAGCCTGCTTTCTGCGTGCTCAGGCATGTTGTCCTGGACACCGCCTGCAGGATCTTGTGCAGGGGAGCACCTCTCGGCAGAATGCTGTCAGCGCCTGGGGATACACCCTGAGAGTGACCACTGGGTTGACTAGTGCCTCAGAGAGATGGGCAGAACCTTTTCCTGAGGCCAAGGACGTGCCTTACTACTTACACACCAGAGTCTCTCTCAAAGCGAGCATCTCAGGGCCTCTGCTGCTACATGGGTGATCGCAGAAGAAACCCTCAGGCCAGCGCGCCTTCCCCAGACACTGGTCCTGATTGTCACAGTGCTTGTCTGGTTAATGCAGCACTTTCCTCCCCAACTGCTTGTCCTGAGAGTTCTGTTTGTTCTGCTCTGAGAGAGGGTCTCCCTGTGCAGTGCAGCCTGGCCTTGGAGTCACGCTGTAGCCTGGGCTGGCCTGGAGTCACAGTCCTCCCGCCTCAGCCTCCTGAGTGCTGGGATTGCAGGCATCACCACCATGCTCAGCTTGCACTGTCCTAATTTTAAAAACAGATTTCAGCAAGTAACCTTTGCTCCTAGAATGCAGTTAGAAGGCTATTTTTGCTCAAATCTGGATGTGATTGCACCATTTGTAGGAACAGAGACAGGGAAAGAAACACTTAAACGGAGCGATGTAAGGGGTTCTGCTAAGGCATCAGACAGATGTAGACATTTGCTTTCCTCACGCCGCGGTGGTGGTGGAGGGAGAGCGTGAGTGTGAACGTGTCTCTTTCCCCAGGCATACTGTTACCATGGCCAGACGCTGCTGGCCGGAGACAAGTGCGGGGAAGCAGTCAGGGCTCTCCAGGAAGCAGAGAAATGTGAGTCTGACTCTTGGCTCCTTTGTTCTAAGACAGAATAAGTAGGCAGCCAACGAGATTCGGCTCAGTTCCTGAGTGGGAGCAGGACCCGATGAGGTGGTTGGAGAGCAGACCACAGTGTCTTAAACCTCCAGCCTATAGAAGATGCCCGCTTCCCACTTGCAGTCGCGGTGAGGCTGTTGCTGTCCCTAGGCAGAAGCAGCAGCAGCCCGGCCGCTGGCACGCGACGCTTCCTTACTGCGCACAAGCGGCGCGTGGCTGTTGTCAAGTGACTGTCTCTTGCACAGTGTACGCCAAGGCCGAGGCGCTCTGCAAAGAGTATGGCGAGACCAAGGGGCCCGGACCCACGGCCAAGCCTTCGGGACACCTGTTCTTCTGGAAGCTTGGGAGCCTGGTGAAGAACACGCTGGACAAGTGTCAGAGGGAGAACGGCTTCATGTGAGCGCACGCGCCCCCGCTCCCCGGCCGCTTGGGCTGCTGCCACAGCGTTAGCAGGCCAGCAGTGCCGCTAGCGATGAAGTCCCGGCGCTGCAGTGCGACTGCAGCGCTGTACCTGCGGATGGTGTATGCGAGCGAGACCAGAACTCGGCCATGAGTTGCCGACATAGCTCATGGGTTGTCTTAGCAGCTTCCCTGTAGTTGTCACTTGTAACTACCTACAGATCAGAAAATGAAGTGCTGCACAGTCTCTCCTGGACCTTTCCTGCTGTTTTGTTTCTTTTTTCTTTTTTTTGAAACAGGGTCTTTCTGTGCAGTTGAGGTTGGCCTTGAGCTCACTTTGCAGCCCAGGCTGGTCTCAAACTCGAAATGATCCTCCTGCCTCAGCCTCCCTAGTGCTGGGATGACGGGTGTGCTGCCCTCTGCACCAGTTTCCCACTCTTGAATTGGGGTTTAAACTGCGGGTCACCTCTGTGGGTGTAGATTGCACCCGCCCCTGCTTCTGTGTCTCGCTCTTCCCCTGGTGTCCTGCACCTGGCTGTGCCACCTCGAATATGCCCAGCTCTGCTTTGTCTCTGATCAGATCCTTGTCTTCTGGCAGTTTGCAACCCCAGCAGCGTCAGGGACAGTGCACTTCTTGGCTGCTCTGTGAACTGCAGGAAACAGAGAAACTTCCTCGTCACTACTTCAGACCTTGGATGTGTTAGGAACCCAGATAGCCAATGCATGAATGCCTGAATGAATGATCCACTATTTAAATTGCTTTTTGCAGTTACTTTCAAAAAATCCCAACGGAGGCCCCACAACTGGAACTCAAAGCAAATTATGGGCTGGTAGAGCCCGTGCCTTTCGAATTTCCTCCTGCGGGTGCTCAGTGGACACCAGAAGCGCTGGCTGCATTTGACCTCACCAAGAGACCCAAGGACGACAGTGTATGAGATGGGTTTCTCTGTTACGAGTTTGAATCCAGAGTTAGTGTTTTGATAGCTGATCTCTAGTCAGATACACAGTGTGTCTCCATGTTAATCTGGCTAATCACAGTGCGGGCAGGATGTGCTTGCCACAGGACTCAGAGAAAGTCGGCACCCTCAGTGTCTCCTGGTGTTTGACACAACATCATTTCCAACGTGCCACCTTGCCTTTAGGGTGTTTGGCCTCCTTCCAGAAGAGCTGAGGGAAGGGTCGCCATGTTTCTGTTGCTGTGGCACTGTCTCGGATTTGGCATTATGGCAGCATGTTTAAAGATTTGCTCTAGCTTCAGCACTCTGTGAATTATCCAGGAGCAACATATTTTATTCATTAACATCTAAGTACATCTTGGTATTGAGCCAAATGATGGTTTATGTGGAAATTTTGAGATTGAACTATCAAAAGACCAGGGACCTGTAACAAAGGAAAGGAAATTACTTTGCAACCCCAGCCCCACCCTCAAAATTGTATTTTTATATAGTTTCCTTCCCATGCTAAAGCCATTGTTCCTTAAAATAGCCATCTTTATATCCTGTTCAGCCCTTGAGACACAGCCCTAAGAGGTAGCCTGATACGGTCCTGAGGTGCTCCAGACTTGTGCAGTCCAGCGGCAGAGGGCCGTGCGTGGCGCCGTCTGGCCGCCCATCTAGGCTAGCACTGAAAGGGCCCCTGGCTGTCATAAGCAAATTGACCTGTAGCTTCTGGGGCAGCTTGCTTGGCCTCAGCTTTGTCACCTAGTGCAGCATCTTTTCAAAGCCTGAAGTAGAAGAGGTCACAGCTTTGTGTTCCGAACCACACCTTACATGCTGTCTGTGTTTTTCCTTCTCCCTAGGCCAAACCCAAGCCAGAAGAAGAAGTAAAACCTGTGAAAGAACCAGACATCAAGCCCCAGAAGGACACTGGCTGCTACATTTCCTAAAACGCCATGGGGCTCCACTTGCTCTAGTGCATAGGAAAAACCATACCGCTTCAGTCCCTCCTTGAAGTGACTGCTCTGCAGGCTGCAGAGGAATCGCGTATTGGAGAGCATCCACCTTCCGTTGCTTCTTCTTGACTTTCAGCCTTGTGGGGATGCTTCCCGCCCTGCTCCCAGACGCCCTCTGCTCAGACGCCCGAAAGGCTCAGTACATGCTTGGGTTGGGTCCTTTTGAATACTGGGTGCTAAGTTTCAGGTTAATGAATCATGGGCCTAAATGATGTGTTTTCAGACAGATTTTTCTACACAAAAACCTTTATTTTCCTCCCTGATACCAGAAGAATGACAAGAATTGATTTTGAAGAGAGACAGGTTTACCCCCTCACTACTGTGTTCATTCTGGACAGATTTCTGCTCTGAGTTCTTTGTCTTTTGCAGTGGGGAGAAGGTCAGGTCAGCGCACCTTCACGGCAGCCCCTGTGTGTTGGGGTCAGAATCCCCGTGAGCATCAGTGTTGCTGGGCTGAGCCCTTCAGGAGCCTGGCTTGCTTTGCTTCATGCAGGCTTAATGACCCCCGGTGATTTTTATTCTTTTTTTTTTTTTTTTGTGGAACCGGGGATTGAACTCAGGCCCTTGCGCTTGCCAGGGAAGCGCTTATTCCACTGAGCCATCTCCCCAGCCACAACCCCCGGTGATTTTTACATATCCCTTTTCTAATGCCTTTCTTACTTGGAGATTAAAACTTTGTAACAGCACTTGGTGTTTCTATGTTGGGGAAGATAGTTTGGGAAATGTTTTTTGAAGAAAGCAACATTGCATGATACAAAGATAAAACTTACGTAGGTTGTCCTGAGTTACACTGGTAACTACTTTCTTTAAAAAGTCTTAGTACTAAGTGACCTGGTTGCCCAATTTCGGTGTGTATTGTTTTGACATGTTTCTGTAATATGTGTGTCCTACTGGAATTGGACTACTTCAGGCCTTAGGCCATAGCAGGGACTTCAGAATGCACGTGCAGGTTGGCACCAGAAATGGGCTGGACTACTCGAAACAGCCAAGAGTACATAACACTGGAGAAGTCGCGGAGGCCTGAAACTTCAGCAGAGCCAGGACGGCTGTGGGTTCACTTCATGACCCTTCTGGGCTAGTGGGTAATTTTCCTGTATTAGAAATGACAGATTGGTTCGCTTAATAGAAATAATAGTAGTTTTTGAGAGCTTCCTGCAGGCCCGGTGCCATGCTGAACACTTACGTAGATAAACCATGGAATCCACAGCACCCCTGTGAGAAAGGCGTGAAACTGCAAAGAGCATTGAAAGGCGAGTGCACGTTTCCTTACAACAAAGGCAGGGAGTGTGACGTCTGTCTTAGCTTGTCACAGGGACAGAGTGCCTGGTGCACACGCCTTGAGCAGAGCTTTACTGTGGCTCACGGTTTCAGAGGTTTTGGTGCATGGTCCCTGGCTCCACGGCAGAACTCCAGGGAGGGAGGAAAGGCGCTCGCGTCAGGGCCAGCTGGGGACAGGAAGCCTCGGGCCACTCCCCTGGTGACACCACTGCGCCCGCATCGCATTTCCCAGGCCAGGCCCCAGCCCCCGGATCCGGCCTCCGCCACCACTGAGCAAAGGAACTTTAGGCAACATCTGTGACCCCACTGGAACAGTGCCTGCCTGCGTCCAGACGTGTTCAAATAACTGACGGCATCGATCACAGCAAGCTCTTGCCCTTCCCTTCACTGCAGAATGAAGTGTGTTTGTAAAATATATGGAAATGCTAATTAATGCTTACAAGATCTAATATTTGAGCCTGCAGTTTCTAGAATATTTGAAACAGTAATAGATGCTTAGTTTTATTCTCCTGATTAGAAAAAATGTGAAGTGTCACTGTGTTTTGTGTCGTGGTTACCCCTGGATCTCTCGTTGCTCTGTGCTATTGACAGCAGCATTTGAAACAGTACTCGGTACCAGCTGGGCCCAGTGTACGGCTGGTCCTGGCACTTGGAACACCATGGCCGCACTCCATGAAGATCGTGAGCCACCCCGCAGGCTGTGCCAGCGAGCAGTTCAGCGCCTGGAGCGCAGCAAGTGTGCTCAGGAGGGAGGTTCGGCTCGGCAGAGGTGACGCTGTGATCCACACGCTCCGTGTGCATAACGCTGTGAAGTGGTGCTGAGAGTCGGGGAGTTACACGGCCGAAAGCTGCACCTGCCTGTGCTGACGCGCACGTGTCCGTGACAGGCGGCGCTCGTACTGCTTCAGCTGGATGGCATCTGTGTAATGAATCACCCTTTTATTTATGAAAATAAAAGCAGTTTTACTCACGTGCTCATTGAGGTCTTTGTGTCTGTTTGCAGTTACTCGATGTCGGTTGTTTCAAGCTGCAGGAGTCACTAGTTCTCTGCTCTGTGGCCTCTCTGGCTTCTGCTGTTTGCTGGTGACTTCCCCTCTGCCCCGCAGAGAAGGGCTCGAGGGCCTGTGCATGCGCGGGATGTGACATGCAGTGTGGCGTGCGTCTGTGCTGCGTGCGCCCCCGAGGGCTGCCCACCGCTGTCCTCTGGCAAGGTGCCGGTCCGGCGCTCCATAGGAAGGCAGAGATGAGCCTGGCACGCTTCTGTTCCAGAGCTTGGTTGCAGCTGTGTAGAAAGTCCTGTGTTCTGGTTGCCATTAACGCCGGCGGCCATAAGTGCGGTGTCGGCTTGGGTGGCCCTAAGCTTGTCTGAAGGCTGCTCCAGGCCATGCCTGCCTTGCTAGGGGGCACTGTCGTTCTCAGGGCAGATGTGGCTTGCTGGTTCCCATTTCTCATTGCCCCCAAGGCACCCCTGGCTGGGGTTGTCCCCCAGGAGGCCCGAGGCCTGGCAGTCTGCGCCCGGAAGTGTCCAGGCCTTCAGACAAAGAGGGCTGCAAATAAGCCAATTGTCTACAGCATTGTCTATGGGAGGTACTAGATATAGTTGCCTTGTTTGTGTTTGGTCATTTTTGTTTTTACTGTGTTTTTTTTGGTTGAGTTGTTTTTTAGAGGTTTATTTTTTGTTTGTGGTGCCGAGGACCGAATCCAGGGCTTCCAGCTAGCCAGGCAAGCATTCTACCGCTGAGCCAAATCCCCAGCCCCAAAGAAAGTAACTTTTTTTTTTTTTTTTTTTTGGCAGAACCAGGGATTGAATTCAGGCCCTTGCACTTGCCAGGCAAGCAGTTATTCTACTGAGCCATCTCACCGGCCCCTACAGTGTAAGAATGAGAAGAACTACAAAATGCAGCTCTTAGAAACCGATATTCATTCACTAAAAAACTAACATCACCAAGAACCTCCTGGACACAAAGACAAGGTTCTCTGCTTTCAAGAGGCCCAGTATTCCGTGGGCGGTTCAGAGCAGCAGACTGCTCCTGGCATGCCGGGAGGCAGAGGCAGGAGCGTCAGGCTCAGGCCTAAGCCAGGCAACTCGTAACTAAGACCCTGTTGCAGAATTAGCGGTGAAGGGCTGCGGGCGTAGCTCTGCCCCGCCACGGGCTCGCCCCTCAGCAGACGAGTGACAGTGCTGATAGCGTAAGCTGGTGTGTGGCCAGGCCGGGAGGGGCGCTGTGGGCACGTGGGCCGTGTGATGACGCGGAGACGCTGTGGAGAGCCACGAGATACGAAGGGCAACTCGGGAACAGGACTGCGGTCAGGAACTCTGCGTGTCACAGCCGAAGGTGGGTATGGGGCCGCAGAGCAGGCTGAGGGAGCCCTCGGAGAATGCGTGGCATCCCAAATGCGCGGAGGGCAGTGACGGGGCCTGTCGCCTCCCAGTGAGTCCTCCCCCTGCCCTGACGCGACACTGCAGGGAGAGTAAGACACTCCTCCAGGGAGCTCCACGCTCTGGTGAGGTCCCTGCTTGGGGCACACAGCTGAGTGAAGCCCAGGTTGCCTGGCCTGCGTGGCATCAGGTGAGAGCGCTCAGCTTGGCTAGAGCACCAGGCACGCTGGGCTGTGCGGAAGGCAGCAGGGGCCTCTGTGCAGGAGGGCCAGGCAGGCGCGTCGCTTGAGCCCAGAGCCCAGGGCCAGTCTGGGCTGCGCAGGCTCAGCGAGACTGCGTCTATCAACTGTGGGGTAGGCACGGGGAGGGACCTGCTGGGCTCCCAGATGCAGTCAGCCATGGGATCTACACAGACTCTGGGAGAATGGGAACCCAGAGGACGACACCGAGACTAACTTTTCAATTAATTTCTAGTGGTCCCTAAACAGGAAAGCTTACTAAGATTTATTTTAGCATTTCAGAAACTTTTCTGTGTACATACTAGATACTATGGCAAATGAAGAACTAGAGTCCTGTTTTTTTTTTTTCCTTTTTTTAATGTATTTAATACAGGGTCTTCAGGGTCTCACTACACAGATCAGACTCGTTGAGACCCTCCTATTTTCAGCCTCCCAAGTGCTGGGATTACGGGCGTAACCACCATGCCCATTTGCAGTCACAGTCTCTATGTGCCCTGGGGGCGGGGTGACACTGCAGGGGTTCAAACCTGGTCTCTGCATCTGCTTAAGCAGGCACTGTAATCTGCTGAGCTATCTCTGGTCAGCCCTTTTTTTTTCCTTTTGAGGCAGGGTCTCGCTATGTAGCCCACGCTAACCTCAAATGCGCAGTGATCCTCCTGTCTCAGCCTCCCTAGTGCTGGTTTACAAGCATGCACTATCATGTCTGGCTTAGAATTTTGGTTAAAGATGAGAAGCACTATAAAATAGGGATATCACATTCATGAGCAAGAAGGGGCTTGGGGCAGGAGGACCTGAAACCCCTGTGAGGGCAGGCAGGATTGGAAGGGCCGTGCTTTCAGAAGGAAGGGCTTACTGAGGAGCCTGCAGGAAACCAGACCCCAGTGCTCCGGGCAGGGCCGAACCTGAGGTCTCCTCACTGCTGCCAAGAAAGCATCCTCAGGCAGGGGAGGGTTTCACACCCATGTTGGCAGGTGCTCAGCTCTGCTGATGGTCACTCTACTGAGAGCTTGTTCTTTCTCGCAGCCTAGGAGCTCCTCGGTGGAAGGCT